ACGATTTTATGGGGCCGGACAAACTGGGGGGAAATACCCACTAGCCGGTACTACGCTATATGGAAAGGCCACCAAAAACTGGCCTGGCCTGGACGATAAAGGACGTTTGAACGGGGCTACCCGCTGCAATGGAAATGCGCTATAACATACCTTATTCTTACTCCGAGCACTACTTCTGGTCCTCCGTCGCTTCACACTTGCAGAGGGCGATTTCTCAACTGGCCGAACTGGTGTCCTGGTCGGTGATGACACCAGAAAGACCGATGGTACTGCATCTCCATTAAGTAATGGTTGTTCAATAAATCCCATGTTATGTTTTATCATACTCTCAGAGTAGTCGTCCGGAAACTTGAAATGTTCGCTGCATACATGCGCCTGTGGATCTTTCGGTTCGGGCCGGCCACATTTCGCTAGCCACTGCCTCCGAACGTACTTCCTACGCTTACCTTTTGGCAACAGATGGAACCGAGCATTCCGTGGATTGTTCCTATCAGAATTGTGGCAATGTTTCGCGATACAATGAGGCATATTTGAAGAGAGTAACTACAGTAAATAACATGAACATCAACGTGTCCTCGAAACCAAACGCATGGTTTACGTCACGTCCGGTAAAATGGCGCCGCCCACAGTGTTGATGTTATTTCGGTAATTAATCAGTTTAAAATCACTGATAATGTCATCGGATTAAAAAAAAAAAAAGAGAGAGACTGGCAGAGACTGGTCTGTTTTATCGGATGATAATTATTTAAAAAATGAGTGTCATGAGCATACCATTCCTTTAAATGATATACAGCAATATCTTCCATAAAACGTAGTTGATTTGAATAATAATTACTACCACTGCACAAACAGTGAAAAATGATATGCCTACAATTTATGAATTTGTCTTCTCTGTGGGTTGTATACTCTTCATTCTTTATGCAAATTAATTATAATTATAATTTTTCAAAGTTCGTTTATGATTCATTCAAAGCATTAAAATAATGAGAAACAGAGAGCGTCCTATACCTTTAAGAAATACGTGGGGGCGGGGTTCATAACCCTTTAGGAAACGCCCCTATACGATCCGCCTCCTTGCTGCGGTCTGCAGCCAGACTCTATTGAAACGACTCACTGCACCCTCGCTGCGAGGGGGACCCAAGTTCCCATCAGCAAAAACACGTGGGTTTGCTATCCTGGCTCCAAAATGGTGAAATGAGCTCCCCATTGACATCAGGACAGCAGATAGCTTGCACATCTTCTGGCGCAAACTGAAAACTCATCTCTTTCGACTCCACTTCGAGCGATAGATTTATGAACAAAGCACTTATATACTAATAAAGGCTGGCTTATCTAAAGCCAGTTGAGTAGCACTTGAAATGTTTGGCTCTATGAAACCTGATGTACTTATATGATTCTGTTTTCTTCAAGGTTGTGTCTTCCTGGTCGAATGTACTTATTGTAAGTCGCTTTGGATAAAAGCGTCAGCTAAATGCAATGTAATGTTGTGCAGCTTTAAAAGAAAAAGTGGTAGCTACATCGGTGCCAACGATGCTAATCGTAGCCTCCAAGTTAAAATCATAGACTGTATATATAAAGGTTAAAACGAAATAGACAAGTGTTAAGCGTTAAGTGGATACTGTTGAACAAACGGCTTCTGTTTGAGGTTGATAAAACAAGGTTACATCCTTGTAACTTAGAGATATTTTATTATGTAGGTAGGAACTGTATGCATCTAAGGTTAATTTAAATTGGCTACGCTCAAGTATGTAGACAAGCTAATGTCGAAGTAGTGTATGTGAAATCAACCTCACAATAAGATGTGTGTATATTACAATTATTAATGTCATATTTCAAGATGATTACTTAGATATTACAATATGGTTGGTTGAGCTGGAGTTCATTATCGAGCTTACACGTTAACGTCAGAGTCATCTGAAGAACGAACCCAAACCTTGTTGTTTTTATTAATTGCATTACCAAATGGGTATCAAATAAACAGTAAGCATTGGTAACACAACTTCCAAAGTTACAGTAAAATAAAAAGGACCCTGACTCGGACAATACACAAGAGAATCAGTTATATTGTTTGTACACATGGTACTTTACATATATATATATATATATATATATATCTGTTTGTTTAAGGTGTCCAGGTGATGCAGACAGGCTGGACCAGAGAGTGAGAGACAGAACTGGACTCCTCACAGCAGTGAACTTCAGCACAGGTACAAAGACTCTTTTTTCATACTGTACAAAGAATCAAGAAAGATATTGGTTTAAATGAATGAAGTATTGACTTGAATACACTGATATACATTCCATTAAACAATACTAAATACTAGATCACCTACACATCAGTTAAGTTGAGGGCTTTTTCCATGCAAAAAGTTACATTTAGATATTTAGCAATATGACTTTGTCAGCTTTCTAATTTAATGTATTGAAGGCAAAGATATTTAACACATAGTGAGAACTGCTACTATTTATCTCTCAATATTGTCTGTAAAAAACGTGGTAAAAGTTATTCTTTCAGTGAGACAACAGAGCAAGCTTCTACAGTTCCACTACGTTTTGTAACAGTTCAATGTTATTTTGATAACATATATTTCAATGTTGATGAACTTCACACTGTTCATTCATAATCTGATTGTCTTTGTAGCTCATTGTTGAAATAAATAAAAAAAACATTCCAATTACAAAATAATTATATCTACAGCCCCTAAACACACAAACACACCGCTTTCATAAATAACACACTTGTTCTGTATGTTTCCTGTAATTTGTGTTAGGAAAGGACATGCCTGAAAGACACAACATTTTCTCCTTCTCTGAGGGTCAAGAAGAACATCCAAGAGGAACATTAAAAGCTGATGTTATGAGATTTTAAGACCAGTACAGGACATTCACTAAGAAACTACTTTTATTGTAAAGCTGATCGAATGCAGCTATTTCCACATCTACACTCCATCCGCTGATTATTTCTATTTGCCTCACTTTATGAGCTTCACATCACCTGTGCCTTGTACTGCAGAGTTTGCAACGTCACAAATAAATGGGGCCAATCTTCAGTCAGATGTGAATGTGTAATCTAACAGTTTCAGTAAGAATAATGGACAAAAGGAGTGCAAATACAAATACAATTTATTGAAATGTGAACCAAAAGTTAATCAAATGTTTTAAATATAAAGCACATATGGACAGAAGGTGTAAACCTATTAAATGTATAAGTAAACACATTTAGTCAAATAAAGTGACCGACTAGGCCTGTGCAGTTGGTATCAGCTGTGCCCAGCATGGGCTCCTCCATCAGGCCTGGTCCTCCTCGCTGAGGAAAGACCCTCAGTCCTCTCCAAACCAACAGACAGGACGTCCATCACACAGAGGTTTCTCCCTGAAGTCTCTGCAGCTCTCTGGACACCATGCTGTCTCAATCCGTCCACACTGAATATGAGAGGGGGAAAATGAAAATAATAAATGCTTTAGACAATAAGAAACATAAAGTTGACTGTTGAGTTGCTCAGTTTTTTTAGATTGTCAATACTATTACTGTATAACTAATATCTCAGGTTAAGAGACCCATTCAAATAAAGATTGGTCTTTAAATACATTTTGTCTTTTGAATTGTTTGTCTAAAGTCAAGGATCTATAACTGGTACTTAGTTTTAATGATACAGTCTGGTTATTATGCTGTTTGGAGGAGGCCTCACAGGTAAGAGCACTAACTAGCTAGCATCACATGACCTTAGCTTGACTTAAATGTATTAAACGTATAGTTAAGTGATATCAAAATATAAATAACTAATGTCATGCAAACATATTAATATTTGCTTGATTCCAGTGTTGAATTTAGCACAATTGCATACAAACGTTAAGGGGTTTAAAGATTCTGAAGTATTATGCTAAAAACTCAATAACTTAGATTATTATTTATAGTTTTTCTGAATAGTTTCATGTCCGCTTACCTTAGAAACATAAAATGCGACGGCAGCGTGCAGATGGGGAGCATGTTAGCTTAGCTTGGTAGCTTCAGATAGCTCTGGAACTTCCAGCTCGGTGGCAGCAGGTCCCGCCTCGGCTCTGCCTCTTTGCCCTTATTTGGAGCAGGCGGGAGTTGAACTCTGACGTCACTGTCGAGCCGTTAGTGGCCGACTCCGCCTACTAAGGGCTTCACGGCAACTCTGCAGAATCCTATGGGTGACGTCACGGACCCTATGTCCATTTATATATACAGTCTATGGTTCACACGGGCAAAACTCAAACGGACTATAAACGTTAAACACAAGTCATGTGCACGGAAATGCTGTTCAACCATTAAGACATTAAGGGGGTAAAAACGCAAATCCCGACAATTTCTACCGGAGCCTCCGCCATGGAGCATCGGCACTTTCGGCTGGTTATTCTCATGCTGCTGTTAATCTGGAGATCAACAGACACTAGCGGCCCGCGCATATGATTATAATCAGACAACGTCCGTTAAAAAACAAAATAACACAAGACGTTCTGCAGTAAGGAGGGGCGTTTCACCGAAGACAGGTGTTCTATTTTTATGTAGCTGATGGAGAATCTTTACTTTACACGACACTGTTCAACACTTCATTCTGCTTCACTCTTTAACTAAACAACCGCAGATCTCTTGAAAGACTCTTTCGCTAAAGATTTTGAAGACATCCGCGTTCTTGTGACACGTAAATACTACGCTTCCTATGTTTTGGTGCGGACTGCGTTCACACCAGCAATGAACCGCTCCAGAGTTCGCAAGCAAGCGCTCCGAGACCACCTATTTTAGCGGACCAGAGTCCGGTTTTTTAGTTCACTTCAGAGGTCTCGGATTGTGTTCACACCGACCCAAATGAACCGCACCAAGCGGCTAAACGCACCAGGGTTCGATTAAACCGGACTATACAAGGCAGGTGTGAACGCACCCTTAATCTACAGGAAAGTTCTTTGATTAAAACATTGTTATGAATGGCCAAAAGAAAATCCAGGACTAAAACAGTGAAAAAGATGCACAGACCTTGTGAACAGTGAACAGCTTTTAATGAAACTTAGTTTATTCTGATAGTCTTGATGAACTGCCAGCAAGAAAAGCCAACTGAACCATGTTTTCTTCTTTTCACATGCAAATACTCAACTGTCATTGACAGACAACAAAATCCCAAATGATAGTTATTAAAAGTGTAGTGGTTTACAAAAAAAGACCATGACTGCAGACAGTAGTTTTAGGAAGGGACGGCGGTTAAGAGCCATGATCTAGGTGCAACTTTAGTTTTTCTTTAATAGCTTGCAGGTGTTTTCAGATCAAAGGGATCTCTGAAGAGTCTTCAGCATCCATCACTCTGAACACTCCCCCCTTCTCTTTCTTCATGCTCCCCTTCCCTTTGTCTGAAAGTACAGAGAACAACACTTTACTTCAGCTCATTAGAAAAAACAATGACTAAGTACTAAGACAGTAAATTAAAAAAGGGACAATGCAAACATGACACATTTAAAAAAGGTTCACATCACCCTAATGACCAACATTAAAGCCTTTACACATGGCGCCTTAGAAAACCCTCCATTACACATCAGGTCCTCTTTCGAAACTGATCAGCACAAACATAAGGTGGCAGTAGTAATGTTTACACTACGTAGTGCGGCACAGCTCTCGACGCCAGCTATTAATATTTAGGTTATTAAAGTTACATTTCTACTTTATTAAATGGATACATTAGACATTCTGTATTCACTGATTATTGACAACTTTCAGTGTCGTTGTGATGGTAAGATAATATATTTTTAGCATTCCATCATATTGATCACCTTAGTGTATTTGGCCCAACAGCATTTTTGTTTGAGATATTCAACTTTTAATTGAACATTGTGCCTACTGAAGTGCTTTTGCATGATCATATTTTAATAATCACTCCCACATTATCCTCTGAAATAACGACAAGAGTGTGACCTGTGTAGTGGTGTTTCTCCTCACCCAGCATGTCGCTGCGATCCAGTAAAAGCTCCAGGTCCTTGTTGCTGATCACCTCCCCCCTTGATGTTTTCACCTCCCTGAGCGAGACAAACGAACAGACAAACGTTACTCTACACCAGGGGTCGGCAACGTTTTTTTATATGAAGTCCCATTGAGCGTGCCGACGATCTTGTATTATCAATGGGTCAATGGGGGGGGGGGGTGAGGAGCTCAACGCTTGTGAACTGTCAACAGGAGGGCGGGGGAGCCTCGCTGCGGGGAAGCAGTGTGTGGACCTGTCAGCACAAATTACCTGATGCCGAATTTAACAAACAAGAAGAGATTGAAGGGCCATCTACTAATGACCATGTGAGCTGTGAATTGAATTTGATCGCATACTTTGTACTGGTGGGTGCACTCATCCTTGGCTGAGATTGATATTGAAAGTGGATGACATTGTTGATGATGTTGGAGATTGTTAATGTTGTTAATGATGTCAGGACTTATGTCTTGAATGTTGCTGTATTATTGTTGTATTGTTTTAAGTGTCGGACCCCAGGAAGAGTAGCTTTTGTCAAGAGCAAAAGCTAATGGGGATCCTTAATAAACATAAACATTTAAATAATTGGTTTAAACGGCATAATAATAAGGACGATCGTCCGTTCTGTGATTCTCCAGAACACAGATGGCCAGTCCGCCCCTTTGTAGCATATTATTTCGATGAGAGATGAGCAGATCGACACTGGGCTCTCAACTAAAGACACAGCCACGCAAAAACTGCGGCATTTGTACAGCTCCTTATGGGTACTGCAATTATGGCGCGTTTCCACTGCAGCGGGTAGCTCGCTTTAAGCGTGCCGAGCCGTGCGGGGCCCATTTTTGGTTGCGTTTCCACTTGGCCTAGTTTTGGCCCAGGGCTACTTTTTCAGCTTTTTTCTGGCCCGACTAAATCGTGGTTCTAGGGCCAGGAACAACCAGGCTGAGTCGGGCTGAGTATGCTAAACTAGAGAGAATCGCTGGCAAGGAGGCTACAACTACAACAAGATGAACATATTTGACCGTGATTTAATTGTAATACACGTTTCAAAATGATGCCGAAGTAACAACATACTGATACCGGTTAGTAAAAACCATGAATTAATGCTTTGACAAGTCTGCAGACAGACGGCAGGCGAAAAACCCTTTTAAAATGCGTGTTTTCTAAATGGAGCTTGGCTAAGCTAACGTTAATATGCTCCGACCGTCCACACTCACAACAACGGCCTATACAGACATAAATAAACCAGCGACTGTATTCGCCATGACACAGGCAGTCTGTGGTTTGTACTTGTTTAACTTTTGTCTAGTTTCTGAACAGATATGAGGAGCTGTGAGCTCTGAGTGCTAACAGCTAATGGCTGTGTTGTTTTTTGGGGCTCTCATTGAAGATGACGTCACGGCTCCGCCTACACTGCGTTACTATAGTAACTACCCCAGTTCCTAAACTGTAATGGAAGCGCAGCATTAAAGGGAGCCGGGCCTAATAAGGCCTAACCAAACCGAGCGAGGCTGAGCGAGGCCTGCAGTGGAAACGCGCCATTAGTGAAGTGCTTTCCTCCGTGGTGAAACGATCAGCACCACGGAGGAAAGCGGCAGAAAGTCGCCTGGAGTTAAAGAGAGCGGGGCTGCGTTGCGTGCATGGCTTCCTTCTGCAGGTAACGGGGAGACGCGCTTTGGCGTCGGTCTCGTTCAAGATCCGAAAATAAAATGTAAATATTTTGCACACTTATTCATAGTGTGCCACTGGTTGCGGTGGTTGCCGACCCCTGCTCTACACTGTTGAGAGCTCTTGGTTCTCCTTCACATTATCTTAACATTGAAGAGGTGGTGTCTTACTTCTCCATGCCTCTGGCTCTGAGAAGCTCCCTCAGCTCATCCAGATCAATGCAGCTCTTACTCTGGTTCAGCTCCGCCTTAGCACCTTTGAACTTATCTATGGAAGAGAAACATCATCAAGCCCACATTTGAAAGAACATTCAGAACTCCGTACATTGCTTGCAGTTATATGTAGTATATCAGCAATAGTAATGTAGTGCTGCAGTGCCTGAGGTGTGGGCAGCACATGAAGGTCAAGCCACTCACTTTTGTGGATGACCATCTGCTCCAGCTTCCTCTTGGCTGAGGCCTTCTCCAGGATCTTCTGGTCGATGGTGTTGGCCGTCACCAGCCGGTACACCACCACTGGTTTGGTTTGTCCGATTCTGTGGCAGCGGTCCTGGGCCTGAAGGTCAGCCTGAGGGTTCTGAGAGGGGATGGAAGCATTAGCACACACCAGCACTCACATATTAACATCTGACATCATCCTGCACCCACCCAGTCACTGTCGAAGATGATAACAGTGTCAGCAGCGGTCAGGTTGATCCCAAGTCCTCCCGCTCTGGTGCTCAGCAGGAACAGAAATACATCTGGATCTTTGGAGAACTTGGTCATCTGGGGAGAAAAGGGTCAGATAGTTAGTAATGACAGAAACACCATCCTTATTGGTTAAATATAAATGCTTAGCATTTTACACTTGTCAAAACTCACATTTTCATCTCTTTCAGAGAAGGACATGCTGCCATCAAGCCGGCTGTACTGGTAGCCCCGCAGATAGCAGTAATCCATCAAAAGATCCAAGATGGACGTCATCTGACTGAAAATCAGAACCTGGAGCCACACATCGATCAATTCCTTGTACGACCATGATAATACAAATATTCTATAAATCTTATATTTGATACATACATCGGAGGTGGGGGTAGGCCTGCGCATCATGAATATCCCTAAATGTTTTAATATAAAAATCATACTGGTGTGATCATTATTGATATAGATAAGAATTCTGTCTCCCACAGAACGGTTGCATAAGTCCTCTTCCTTTAAAAAAGTACTCCGAATATCAACTTGTTGCCTGTATAAAAGACACCTATCCACAGAATCAATCAGATTCCAACCTCTTCACCATGGGCAAGACTAAAGAGCTGTCCTCTGTTTACACGGAGACTTAACGGGTGTTATCCGCTATAGTTCTCTATTGTATGGACGGTTCGTTCACACAAGGCCGTAACGGAACCGCGGAAACGGAGTCCTCAAGCGATAACGGGTCCCAAGATGGACGGAACGCTCTGGGGGGCCAAACGGCTCCGTGTGTACGCCCTATACGATCATTCCCTGCCTCTCCTGCGCACCCTAATCTAATCGGACAGGAGAGAGAGATCAGCTGCTGCTGACGGAGACACGTGATGATCACCTGGAGCTCCGCCCGCTGTGATGGAGACGAGATCTCTCTCTCCCGTCTGTGTGCGAGGGGGCGGGGCCGTTTGTAAAGGTCTCCTGACTGTTACAGACTGTCATCCTGGTTAGTGGTTACTCTGGGTTCTGTCTTCAGGACAGAGAGTTGGATTGTTTTGTTAATTGGATGGGACTTGATTGGATTCAATATTAGAGTAATTTTCTCGTTTGTTTAAATATATTTGGCCTTTGTTTATGTGATTGAATGATTTACTTAAATAAAAAGGTTGATGAATTATCATCTAATGATTTGTATGATGTTTTATTTATGTTAACGGTCACTTTGAATGATTTTAACTAATGATAATGCAGAAAAATTAACATTTTAAATTCGGGACGGTCCACATTAATTTCGGGACGGCTTAGATTGTATTTCGGGACGGTTCCGGGAGGATGGGGAAAAAAGTTAGTCGAGAGCCCTGACTACCGGGGAGAATTAGTGGCACCTTCCTTTTACAGCAGGAGCACATGCTCGCCTCGGGGAGGGAGAAAAAGAGAAACAGAGGCCGCTGAAACAGCCAGAGCCCTGCTGCTCACCCAAATCTACAGCTCCTCTGAGCATGTCCACATTTCCAGGTAGAAGCTGGGATGTTTGGGCGTTTACAAAATCCCCTGCTGTGGAAACAACTCTCTTGCTTGGTACTGATGATGCTGGGCCAGAGAGATATGCTTTGGCCCTGGGTGACAGCAGTGGGTCAAACTGTGCATTGTCTCTCCACCACTTCAAAAACAATACAGTTGTTGCCAAGTATAGATATACTGTTGGTACTTGTCAATGTCTCTAGGTGTGTACATGTAGCCCTGTAAATACGATGTCCTTTTGTGTTATCTGTTGTTTTATGTTCATGTTGTAACCTACTTGCTGCCATATTAGACAGGTCCTTAAAAAAGAGATCGATGATCTCAATGGGACCATCTGGTTGAATAAAGGTTTAAAAAAGAAAAACAAAGAAAAAAAAAATCGTGGTAGATTTTGTCAGTCTCGCGACGGTATTGAGACATTTATTTACCGCGATATATCGTTTCATCCCTAATATATACACACACACACACACACAGTGGACTAAACGGCAGATAAACTGTCACGTTTACACTAATCGAGCCGCATTAGCGCTTCAGAAGAGGCCCCCTCATAACGGCATGAACCCGTATGGCACAATGCAACTCAGTACATTTTAAACCCTTTCTTTAGTAAAATAAAATGTTTTATAAATTGGCTAACTAAGTAATCAGCTCGTCGGTGATTTGCAGCCCATGCGTGGTGAACTGCGTGTTAGAAAAGATGAGATCTCAGACTGGCTTACCTGTGCGTCAATCAAGTGGCAAATGCCATAGTAAGGATGGATGATAGGCTAACTTTATGTGATGTGGTCAGATGAGACCAACATCGAGATCTTTGGCATCAACTCGACACGCCGTGTTTGGAGGAAGAGAAATGCTGACTATAACCCCAAGAACACCGTCAGCGTGGAGGTGGAAACATTATGCTTTGGGGGTGTTTCTCTGCTAAGGGGACAGGAGGACTTACGCATCGAGGAGAGGATGTGCGCGGCTTTCATTTTTTTTATCTGTGTGAATCTGTGCTGTCCTGTTTTTCACGCTGCTTGTACAACTGAATTTCCCCACGGGGATTAATAAAGGTCCATCTTATACCGTAAAGTCTTGGCAGATCGCCTCCTTCCCTCAGCCAGGACACTGAAAATGGGTCATGGAGGGGTCTTCCAGCAGGACAATGACCCTGGACATACGGCCAAGGCAACACAGGAGTGGCTAAAGAAGCACATTCAGGTGAGGGAGTGGCCAAGCCAGTCTCCAGACCTTAGTCCCATAGAAAATCTGTGGAGGCAGCTGAAGCTTCCAGATGCCTGAGATGTGCACAAACCTGGTGACCAACTACAAGAAGCGTCTGACCTCTGTGCGTCCAACAAGGGTTTCTCCACCGAGTACTAACACATGTTTACAAGGGGGTCAAATATGTATTTCCCATAGTTAAACGGAAATCAATTTGTATCTGTTGTATAATGTCTATTTCTGGATTTTATTTTTTGATATTCTTACTCTCACTGTTAAAATAAACCTACCATTAAAATGATAGACTGTTAATGTCTTTGTAAGTGGGTGAAATTACTAAATCTGCAAGGGTTTTTGTCGTCGACCTCCCCTAGGTGAAACAGAAGTAGGGCTTCTAGTCATTGGTTGATTTGAAGTACTAAATGAATCCTCCAGTGTGTACTGGTGTCCTCCTGTTTCACCTTATGTCCCCGTGTCTTCAGGGCAGGCAGCAGTCTGTCCAGTATGAGGAACTTCCCGGAGCTCTGTACCAGTTGCTCGTCGATCTGTAGCACGTACAGAATGTGAAGAAACAATTAATATCACTGAGAATACATTCTGTTCATCTCCCGTCATTCTGTTTAGAAAAAACAGTCTGCCTGTTCCTTTGTACTCCAAGTAACATTACCTTGAACTCCTGTGTGGCGGGGTCCAGGGGGTACTCCACCAGGTACGGGTGGTTACAGCATCTTTTTAGCAGCATAAGAATGTTCTGCAGCTTCAGGTTGATCTGTGCATCGAGTGGGCTCTGGATCTCCAGCACTGGAGCGGAACTGGGGGAGAGGAGAGGGTTAGACTGTGACCCTCAAACCGCTCTGTAGTTCATTCACTCAGAAAGCGCTGCCGCAGAAACGCTGGGGATGGCGAGCAGAAAAAGCCTTGGATGTAGAAAGAACAGCTCAAAAGTTAGATTTACTGTCCATGTGAATACAGTCGCTACTGGAGCACGTTGTGTCGACACCACTCAGTGGCTGAGCATACGGCAGATTCAGAGATAACTACGGAAATCATGCAATTTCATATTTTAATTGATTGACAACCCGAGTTACAACATATATGGAGACGCAGGAAAACCAAAATCACACTGTCCAGATCAATGAGAATAAATGACATTACAAAAAGGTAAAGAAATCAAATATATTTGTATTATAGTCACACGAGTGTCTCGGCAGTGATTACCTTTGATCCAGCTCCTTGCGGACCTTCTCCAGATACTTCTCCAGGTCATAAGGTGTGTCTCCACCACGTTCTTGATAGTCTATTTCTTTCCGACTGCTACGCTTCGGCCTGCCACTTTTAGCCAGGACGACAGGAGCCTCCGCCTGCATGCATATACGCAGAGAGAAGACCCAAGTGTGGTCAATAACCATGGCGGTATGGTTTTACCCCCCCCCCCAACACGGAACATACCCCTTGTTGTATAACCCTTAACGTTTGCATTGCTGCAGTCTTTCTGACTGAAGACTTAAGCCAGACTTTTATACGCCAGCATTCAACACATACATCTCCCTGTGGGGACTGAACAGTCATACAGACCTTTTCCTGGCCCAGCACTTTTGCAATGGTTTTGTTGACCACAGCGGTATAAAAGGCTTCCTGTTTGTCCGTCAGAGGAGCGTAAACAATGATCTCCTTCTTAGGAGGAACATCCAGCGTCACGTCGGACTTCAGCCTCCTCAACAGGAACGGGGTGAGAATCTGAACAAGGGTAAACCTTTAGAAAATTCACAAAGCCTAAACCAAGTGTGTCATCTACAAATCTGAATGCAACAATAAATAACGATACATCTTATATCACAGAATAATGCATTATTGTTTCTTGAGGACAGGACAGAATCAGAACAACCATCAAGTCCGTACGTTTGAGACTTGATGCACTTTGTGTTTAGATAGATTTCATCCTCATGGCTGTGTGCGTTGTCCATACACTTGTGTGCGTTGTCCATACACTTGTGTGCGTTGTCCATACACTTGTGTGCGTTGTCCATACACTTGTGTGCGTTGTCCATACACTTGAGTACAGCCATATTACGTTCCGATTGGACAAGATAGTAATTATTGTTGGGGATTTCATGTAAATGGTGGTCCAGTTGTTAAAATGAGAATAGAAAAGGCAGTTAATGCCCTTGCTTACAGAATCTAAACATGAAATGGTTACCCCTAAATGGTGATACGTATGGCATCAGCAGATTGCCGTTTAAAAAAATAGCCCTTTCCGCAACATTTGTATTTATCAAGGTCCTCTGCAGAACCACACTTCTCTTCTCAACAGTTATGGGGGTAGGGATGGTTTGGAGGACTGACCTGGTGCAACATGCTCAGGATATTCTGCTCGCGCTCAGTAGCCACCACAGTCTCTGCTTCACCAATGGAGTCGATGTCAAACCACGACTCGAAGCTGCACGTAAACAAGTCAACAAGAGGTTAAACCTGATAAACCACTTCCAAATGAACAGCAGCAGAACTTGCCTCGAGGTCGATGTAAGCCCTATTTTCTCTCAGAGAGAGATACTGATCATTTCCGTGGGAAAAATGTTCCACAATGTGAAAGCTTTGGCTGCAGTGTTGCTGCCGAGTCAGTCTGCAGTGTGTCCGCAGAGCGACGTGGTCTGTGTGCTTAGAGTGAAATACAAACTCCCGAGAAGTCGACAATCAAACCAGCTTTCTAAATGTATTTCATATGTGTTGACATGAAAAGTAACAGAAGAGAAAACTTGTAACTTACAGACTTCATTCAGCATCCTACGTATTTTCTCTACAGAAGTCAGCAACAATAAATAAAACCCAGGAACACGGTGAAGTGCACAAACCTCTTGAGGTCGTCAAACACCTCGGGCAGCAGGAAGTTGAGAAGCGACCAGAGCTCAGCCAAGTTGTTCTGCAGCGGCGTGCCGGTTAGAAGCAGCTTGTTGTCCGTAGGCAGCAGCTTCAGTTCCCGCACCAGACGGCAGTTGAGGTTTTTGATCCTGTGGCCTTCATCCACTATCAGGTACTTCCACTGGAAGCGCTGCAGCAGAACATATATTATACTGTACAATAATCAAGATAATGAGAATACCAAAAGCCTGCGTTTTCGGAGGCGCAGTCGGCCTCTTAATTTAGTCATTTAGTAAATGTAACAATACTAATCGCAAAATACATGTTGTGGAAGGTTGTTCAACGAGTAAACTGCCATCCCCCAATTCAAACAGCTTGTTTTAAGTCAGCAGCGGTCCCACATATATACAATGAGAAGTATGGCTGCGGTTAAATGTAGAAACAATGGTTATGTGCTTGTTGTTCATGCATTAAATGTTTTTTTGTTTTATGAGTATTTCAAGCAATGAGAACAAAACTATGATTATAATATAATTGCACATCGTGTCCGTATAAAACATGCATGTTTCTGTCATATATAAAAAGCATTTATTCACAGCGATCCTACCTGCAGGTATTTTCTGTCTATCATGGCAATCTCGAAGGAGGTGACAACCACAGGACAAACGCTAAGGGGCCCCTGGGGCCTGCGGATCTGCTTAAGCAGCTGGGACCTTCCCGGCTGGGGACCGTGGAAAAGCAGCACAGACACCTGGCAAAAACACCAACAGCAGCACTTATTAATCATCCTGTCAGATCTAACGTCAGGGTTAGCTGCAAACTAAAACCATTTCAATTATGTTTTAGGAAGCAGTCAAGGTCTTTAGTTTCCTCTCAGCAACGCGGTCTCCTACCTCTGGGGTGAAGCGCTTGAATTCGTTGATCCAGTTGGGAAGAGTGGAGAGAGGGGCCACCACAAGGAAGGGGCCTGTCACTTTTTTTTCTATCATCATGGCGATGTGAGCAATGCACTGGATGGTCTTCCCCAGTCCCATCTCATCGGCCAGGATCCCGTTAATGCCGTTCTCCCACAGCATCTGATGGATGGAACACACCGCTGCTTTACTCTTAATTACAAAATGATATGAGGCTGTACAGACGTACGGGGTCCATCTTGGTTTTGTTACATGCAAACTGAAGCTTCTTTATTTCAGCAGCGGCACTGTATATGAGTGATGGGGTAATCATAGACTACCAACTCGCTCAAGAAAAGTTGATGCAGAAGGAAATTTAACTTACAGGCAAGCCGAAATGCTACGATTGCCAAAAGAATATCATTTACCATGGCACTTGGTATGCTAACCTTAGCCAATGAGGAAAGCAATACAAAAGCCAGGTCACATTCTCACCAAGTGTGGGACTCGCTCTAACGAAACCAATCAGAAAGGTCTTACGTACTAACTGGAAAAACAAGCCACCTGGACAAGTACCCACCCTGAGCCACTCGATGCCTTCGATCTGGTACGACCTCATGACCCCCCCGGTGAAGAGCAGTGGCTGCTGGGCGGGCACAGGCTGGCCGTTCACCTTCCTGTGATGATCCAGGAGATGCTGGGCGTTGTCCCGCACCGTCTCAGACAGACGGTCCTTGATGTCCTGGTTTGAATCGCTCATCTTCTCAATATCCTCCGCTTGTAGTTTCCTCTGGACCCGATTCTTGTCCTGTTATCACACGCTTGGTTTACACATGTGTGGCTGGATGTGCCGTCTTTAATTAATCCGTTTTTTTCTATATCCAATTTACACTTGTTGGATTACTAAAACATGTTGACAAGAGCAGAAAAGTCAAATTAAAGGCCGCCATTACCTCTTCCTCCACTTTAGCTTTATTAGCTTGCGATATGATTTCCTGGAGGACAACAATGAAGCAGAACCAATGAGAGCAGATAATTATACATTAAAGAAATGTGCAGAATAGACCACTGGAATAAGACCTTACTTCTTTTGAAATAACATCTGCTATTTTGTAGTCTTCATCCCGCTTCCTCTTCTTTTTATCTAATTCAATAGAACATTTTGTCAGACACACGTCACACATATTCATGCATGTATCCTGTAAATATAATGTCCTTTATTGTTTTATGTTTCATGTGGAACCTGTATGCTGCAGGTCTCCCTTGAAAAAGAGATCTATGATCTCAAAGGGACCGATCTGGTTAAATAAAGGTTTGAAATGAAATGTCTGGATTTCAAGTTTATAAAACCATATCAAATAAACTGTTAAGATCAGTGTTTATTGGAATACAATAATATATATATAAGAGCACATATCAAAGATCCACTCACTTTTCTCCGGCTCTGCACCGTTTGTGTTCTGAGTTTAAAAAAGACAAACATATCTATGAAGAAGATTTGAAACGTTTTTTTAATTTTAAGCTTAAATGTTGTCATTAGGAAA